AATAAGAGATGAAAATAGAAAATAGAAAAGGCAAAAATCCCAATAAGCAAAAAGAAAAAGGAAAACTATTCTGAGGCTTTCCCTTAAAAAAAAAATAAGTTTAAAAATTAAAAATAAAGTCAAACAAAAGAAAAAGAAAATAAATATACAAATATTACAAAATACTGTGGGATTGAAGAGGAGGGATGAAACAGCTAAAGAAAGATAAGAAAGAAACCACACTGCATCTTATTTAGTTATCCAAGGCTCTTATTATGGCTTCTCCACAAGTTCCAAAGCCAAACTTCAAGTACTCAATTAATAATAGGAGTTCCAAAGAACACCTGTTAAAACATTCTCCGGTGTTCTTCCCTCTATCTAATCAAGTTCCAGTGTCCTTGAGAAAGGATTCCTTCACAGCTCTTTCAACTTCTAATAAAGTATCTTCAAGCCTCTAGTTGGCAGTGTTACAAAGTTTCTTTAATCCACTCCCCCTTCCTTCCCAAAAAAGCCTAATTAAAAAAGGGAAATATACATGTATATATATATGTATTTAAGAAAAAAAAAATTACTAAAGGGAGCCTCTATTCTAAAAAAAAAATTATTAACAGTCAAAAGGGGGGAAGAAGAAAGAAAAATTAGGTGAATATAAAAGGAAAAAACCAGTCTAGTTACAGTTACTAGATCACAATGGAAGTTCAATGGAAGCAAAAGTAAAAGTAAAAAGCCAAGCCTCAATTTGACATTCTCTTTAAGAAATCGCCGCTAAATCAGTTTCATCAGTTTTGTCCAAAGTCTTACAGGATTCTTCTCTTTTTAGAGTGTCCTTGAGTCCCCGAGAAAAAAAAAAATTCTCACCAGCTGATGCACTCTCTTTCAGCCTCTTCCTTCCGGAGCTGTCACAGCTTCAGCAGCTTAAAGGCTGCCTCTCCGCCGATGGTAAAAGGGCTTCTTCTGGATCAGCTAGGGACTTTGCGATGTCCCTGGGATCAGCAGAATGTGCCCCTTACTATCACCGTCTCTACGGGATGGTTTAGGTCCATTAGGACCGACCAGGGGCGAAGATATCAGCTGCAATCTCAGAGCCCCAAGATTGCAGCTGTATCGCAGTGACGTGGCTCCGCCTTTTCCCCGCTTCACTATTATTGTGAGCTCTCTTATTCAAGCAGGCATTTGTGTGGTGTGGATGGCAACTTCTCCCCCATATCCAGATTTGGGTATGCATTCACTAGCCAAAGAGATCAAACAAAGTGCAATGAAGGTTCTATCATGATGTTTTATTTTGTCCTAGGGTATATGGGATTTCTATCCATCATCAGCTTCACTGTAGCTTTCCTCACCAGAAAGTTGCCAGATGCTTTCAATGAAGTGAAGTTCATTACATTTAGCATGCTGATTTTTTGCAGTGTTTGGTTGAGTTTTGTACCAACCTATCTGAGCACTAAAGGAAAATACATGGTAGTTGTGGAGATCTTCTCTATTCTAGTTTCCACTGCTGGATTACTTGGCTGCATCTTTTCCCTAAATGCTATGTAATCATACTGCATCCTGAGCTGAACACCAACTACAGCTGATAGAGGAAGAAGATTTGAGATTCCATGTTACATATGTTGCCCACAGGGAAGCCATTTAGGAGGAAGAATTATGGAGTCCACTTTCATTGCTGGATTAGATGCGTGCATTCAACTGCAGTCATATATTTCAATTTCTCATTCTTTATAAAATACATGCAATGAACTGAACTGTGGATGAACATGGTCTTTTCTGTGGGAAAGCAATGAACTATATTTTGATTCATGTACATTCATGATCCTTGTTTGGTTTTGATGCAGATCAACAGCATTTTTATGACAAAAAAGCAAAGTATGCTTAAGATGCATGAATTATGAGTTTTATGAAGAGTTCCTATGCATCACACAGCATGACAAATATAAACATTTATACCCTGGCTTCTAAGGAGACTTAAATATTTATAAATAATATAAATTAACAGAAATACAGAGGGGGGCTTTATTTCCATTTTTTTCTTTCTCTTCCTCTTTGTCTCTTTTTTTTCCCCTCTTTATTTTCCAATACTTAAATTATAGTTAAATTTCCTTTATCATTTCCTCCCTTTTTTCAATAGGTACAAAGAAAATCAAGTGACAATACAGACTTCAAAGACAAAAATCTCTAATGTGCAACAGATGGTATAATGTATGCAGCAGTTTTTTAAAAAGTTACATTCACTTCTAGGTAGAAAATCAAAATGATTTACTGTCATAAATATAATTTGTATAGATGTAATATTTTTGACTTTTTTTATCCACAATTTCCTAAGTTATCCAGACATTTGGTGTCTTAATTATTTTATACATCATTGTATAAATAGTGCAGTGTCAAAACAATATAATGTAGTAAGCAAATTTCACAAAAGAATTCTGAGGCACAGTGGTTATTCAAAGGAATAACCTTTGAAGAATAAAACCTTATTCTACATCTGTAGAATAAAAAATATTGATATATGGATGTTCCCTTATAACTATATTCATTAACTCTTGAAACAATAGAGTTGAGTCTTGAAACATAGTTTTTTTTTTTTTAAATATTGCTGTTTGATTATGACTTATTATTGTTTTTGGTTACCATTTTTAGATTTCTTTTGCCTGGAAGACAATTTTTGACTGCATTTCTTTCTCTTATTTGTTTATTTTGTACTCATTTTTTGATGATGATAATGATAATGACATTCAAGCAGTATCATTTTATTAACAATGTTGTATGTACAACATATTGTGTACACTCTTGCATGTGCACAATAGAAATTGAATAAAAGTATGTGCTGAGTGGATTTTTCTTCAATGGCTGCAGTTTGGGGGAAGTTAATTGGAAGATGATACTCATGGTTGAATATGTTTTCAGGTTGATAATGGGAACATTCAGTAAAAACAACCTCACTTGGGTAAAATATCTACATTTTGATATATTTCCCGATTTAGCCATCACATCTTAGAAAATTAAACTAAATAAATCCTCACTCAGAGACACATACCAGTGTGATTTTGGAAACCATAGTTTTTTGTGGTTTATAAATATCATCTAGGAAGAAAACAGTGAAAGAAAACTTTGGTCATGCTCCAACAAACCTTTTCCCTTCTACATTTTATTAACCTGCAGTCTAGTGCAATTCCTCCATATCTGATTTTTTTGTTGTTCAGTCACTAAGTTGTTTCTTTGTGACTCTAATGAACTCCATGGACCACAACATGCCAGCCCCCTCCCTGTCTGCCATGGATTACTGGCATCTACTCAAACTCATGTCCATTGCATTGATATCTAAGCATCTCATCCTTTCTATTGCCTTCTCCTTTTGCTTTATTCTTTCCCAACATCAGGATCTTTTCTAAAGAGTCATGCTTTCCAATGAGTACCACTCTATAAAGCCTTAATAAAACCATTGTTAACTTTGAAATGGCCCAAACCTACCACAGCGATCTTTCTGTTTCTCAGCTGCCACACAGTATGGGAGGAGGGAGACAATTGGACCGTCAGCCCAGACAATAATATTATATCATCAGGAATGGGATTCTACCAGTTTGGCCAGGTTCAGGTGACTCAGTAGTTCTGAAGATCAGCTGTCAGTGGACCGTTCACTCTTACAATCAGCTGTTGGGCCCACCCACCCATCCCAGCTCTAGTCTGTGATTTATTTCAGGGTTCTCCAGCTCAGCTGCTTTGCGTAGCACAGCAGATTTCCATGCATCAGCTGTTTTACACACAGTGCTTGCAGCAGAAGGTAAGTTGCAAATGCAATGTGTGCGCAAAGCATGCGCTGATCAAACTGGTTGTTACACCAGTTGAATCCCACCCTTGTTTATCATCCTTGGAATCAATTATACTGAAACTATGGGAAATGGTTAGAGTTGGTTTTGCTTTCATTCATGAGAATATGATGTACTCAATAAAAAGTTCTTTGAGAGAGTTGCAAGTCTTGGAGTGCTGAATTGGTTGGGTTCATTAGTAGGAACCTTGACAACCATATTTAGAATGCTGCATCCAATTTTGCTCATAAAAAAGATGCAAGGCAGAAAAGAGTAACAAAGATGATTGGGGTCATCAGGCTAAAATACATGAAGAATGGTTGTGGGATTTGGGTTTGTCTAGTCTAGTGAAAAGGACTGGGTACTATAATAGCAGACTTTTAATACTCGAGGACCTGCCACAAAGAGGAGGGGGTCAACTTATTTTCCAAAGCACCTGAAGGCAAGGCAATGGATGGAAACTAATCAAGGAAAGAAGCAACCTAGAACTAAAGACAAAATTTCTAACAGTTAGAACAATTAACCAGTGGAATGGCTTGCCTTCAGAAGTTGTTAGTGCTCCATTACTGGAGGTTTTTAAGAGAGAGTGAACGGTCACTTGTCTTAAATGGTATAGAGTCTCCTGCTTGTGCAGGGAGGCAGACTAGAACACCTACAAGGTCCCTTCCAAGCCTGTTATTCTCTCCTTCCTTATTTGGTAGCCAAAACATTTGAGCTTCAGCTTCAGTATCTGTCCTTTCAAAGGTTGGTTAGTTTTGATTTTTTTTACATTTGCTTTACTAGGCAAGAAACAAAATGTTTTTAACAGATCTTATTTTCTTTTCATTTTTTCCCAAGGGGAAAAAAAATCACTGAGGAAATTAGAGAGAGACTTTGAATTAATATGATTATTAACTACTACTACTACTACAACAACAACAACAACAACAACAACAACAACAACAACAACAACAATAATAATAATAATAATAATAATTTTAATGACTTCATAATTCCTTATGGGGTGAAGTCTGGAGAACTGAATGGAGCTAGCAAAGTGCTTAATGGCTGGATGCCCTTCCTGTTGCCAATGTGCAGTTTTGTTCAGCAGATAGATTCTCATTGTGCCCAGAGGGAGAAATATCTGCCTCTACCTAGGATCGAACTCACAGCCTCCTGATTGTGAGCTGAGAGCTCACACCTCTAGGCCACCACACCACTCCAGGCTTTGAAATTATAATGCTATAAAAATAGAGCTTGGTCTCCATTAAAAGTTTTTTGTTTAGCTTCAGATTCACTTCCTCTCACTGTGCCAGCTGTGCAGTAATAGATTGCTGTGTCCTCAGGTTTCAGGCTGTTCATTTGCAGATACAGCTGGTGGTTGGCATTGTCCCTGGAGATGGTGAAGCGCCCTTTCACAGATTCTGCATACACTTGCTTACTTGAGTCAAACCAAATAGTTGCAATCCACTGCAGTCCTTTCCCTGGAGCCTGCCGTACCCATCGCAGGCCAGCGTTGGCAAAGTCAAACCCTGAGCCTGTGCAGGAGAGGTGGAGCGATTCCCCAGGTCTTTTGACACCTCCTCCAGATTCTTCCATTTGACCTTGAGATTTAATTCCTAGGAATTAAGGTTCACTTTAATACACAATAATATATAGAGAATCTGGGTCATTTTCTTTTCCTGAAGAAGGAAATCACTCCTTACCTCTGAAAAGGACTGAACATAAAAGTAACTGCAGCAAAATGATCATTTTTCTCTTCATTTTTGGGGATGGTATTGATGGTGGTGTAGTTGGATTGGTATTAATCTGAGTTAAGGGAGTTGAGACTTCATGATGAAGCAGCCCAGATCGATTGCATTTCTACAGGAAGCTGTCCTTGCATTTACATATCTGTCAAAATAAAAGTGGCAGCATTTCCCATCGGCTGTTCTCAGAGATCAACAACCTGACTTGTGAGGCAGTTCTGAACAACTGAGGAGAAAAAGCATCATAATGGTCATATTAGTCCAAACTTTGAAGCAAATAATCAGATGTAGAGTTAGGTCCTTTGCCAATTGTTAATAAGCTATAGTTAAAACCTACAGAGAAGGACCAGGGGAGACATGATAACAGTGTTCCAATATTTGAGGGGCTGCCACAGAGAGGAGGGGTCAAGCTATTTTCTAAAGTTCCTGTAGGCCAGACAAGGAATAATGGATGGAAACTGAGCAAAGAGAGATTTAACCTACAAATAAGGAGAAACTTTCTGACAGAGAGAACAATCAACCCATGGAACTGCTTGCCTTTGGAAGTTGTGGTAGATTCATCATTGGAGGCTTTCAAGAAGAGATTGCATTGTCATTTGTCAGAAATGGTGTAGGGTCTCCTGTTTGAATGGGGGGTTGGACTAGATGATCTACAAGGTCCCTTCCAACTCTGTTAATCTTATCTGTATAGGTACAGGCTAGGTGAAACCTGGCTTAATGCCAGTAAGTATGAAAGTTACCAAGATAGTCAATAAAGTTCCTAAAGTTTCCATATTTACCAAGATGCTCAGTTTTGGTATCCCCATTGTGAATCCTCTCCTGCTTCAATAGCCTTTGTTCCTAGTCCCTTCCACTCCTAGACTTCCTTTCAAGATAATGGGAGATGTAGCATAACAGATCTATCTGTTGGGTTGTGTTTGGAATGTAGGGGAACCAAACAACCTTACACAAGCTAATTAGTTATGGATAATGATAAAAGCAAGCTGTGTAGGGCGTTATGGTTAGAAGAGCCATGGTGGCACAGTGGTTAGAATGCAGTACTGCAGGCTACTTCTGCTGTCTGCTGTCTGCCAGCAGTTTGGCAATTCAATTCTCACCAGCTCAAGGTTGACTCAGCTTTCCTTCTTTCCAAGGTTGGTAAAATGGGGACCCAGATTGTTGGGGGCAATATGCTGACTCTGTTAAGTCTAAACACTATTGCTATGCTGCAGTGGCTAAACCATTCAGTTTGTTACAAAAAGTAGATATGGAAGAAATGTTGGAGAACTTGAAAGCAAGTGCCACTTTAATAACAAGACATTCTGTCTCTACAAATCAGTAGAAGGAGAAATAGCTATCCTGAAACCAGAGTATTTCACAGTAACTGATAACAGGGAGATTTTTGCAGGTCTCCAGATTCACTTCCTCTTGCTGTGTAAGCTGCGCAATAGTAGACTGCTGTGTCTTCAGTTTTCAGGCTGTCCGTTTGTAGTTACAGCTGGCGGTTAGCATTGTCCCTGGATAGTTGTGAATGCTCCAACACTGGAAGTTTTTAAGAAGAGATTGGACAGCCATTTTTCTTAAATGTTATAGGGTTTCCTGCCTGAGCAGTGGTTGCATTAGAAGACCTCCAAGATTGCTTCCAACTCTGTTATTCTATTCTATTCCATCTGCCTGGTGCCCATTAAAAAACCCCACACATTTCATGTCTGAACAGAGGACTTTACTCCAATCACTTGTGTCCTAATTTATCAATCTATGTTCCTATTTCTGAAGTAACACAAAGAGCTGCTGTGAAGAAAGGAAGAATTATGTGCACTTCCTCTCACTGTGCCTGAACAGTAATAGACTGCCGTGTCCCCAGGTTTGAGGCTGTTCATTTGCAGATACAGCTGGCTTTTGGCATTGTCTCTGGAGACAGTGAAGCGTCCTTTCACTTTGTTTGAATAGTAAATGCTAACTGAACTTGGTTGTATATAGGAAACCCATTCCAGTCCTTTCCCTGGCGTCTGTCTCACCCACTTGCTGCTGAAGAATCCAGAACCTTGGCAGGAGAGATGAAGGGACTCTCTAGGCCTTCTCACATTCCCTCCAGACTCCACCAACTGGGCCTCAGATCAGACACCTGAAAATAGAGTAGAATAGTTTATTTGACCACGTATGATAGACACCTAAGGAATTTATCTCTGGTGCAGAAACTCTCTATATAAATGCAAAGCAACAGAGTAATAATAATCATAATACTGACACCAAAAAGAGGAGGTAGTAAAAAAGACAAGAAGGATAACAATAATATTACAGCTAATAGACATGCCAGTATTGTGAGAATTAGCTGTTCAGCAGAGTGATGGAACGAGAGAGAAAAAAACTATCTCTGTGTTTAGTTTTTTTTATACCCTGTAGCTGCATCCTGAGGGGAGGAATGGAAACAGTTTATGTTCAGGATGTGAGGGTTTGTAGATATTTTATCAGCCTTCTTTCTGATCCATGCAGTATACAGATCCTCAGTGGAAAGCAGCCTGGTTGAAATTCTTTCTTTCTTTCTTTCTTTCTTTCTTTCTTTCTTTCTTTCTTTCCTCTGCACCTGGCCTGTTTAGTTGCTGTATCACACCACACAGTTATAGAAGTACAAACGGCAGACTCAATAATTCCTCTGTAGAATTTTATCAGCAGCTTCTGGGGCTGATAGGCTACATAAGTATAACCACAACCAGAAAGGAAGAATTTACCTCTGAGAATTGTGAGCCAGAATGCAAAGCTTAGCCAAAAAGTCATCTTTGATCAGTCAGAGAGAAATTCTACAGAATACATTCAAGCATCCATATACTCTAAAGGTTTTTACATTTAGCTTGTAGAGAATTCTGCTTTACTTTAAAAGGAAATTGTAACAGAATTTACATATCTCTACTAATAGAAGGACCTCTCTGTTCTTTTTCTCCACATTTCTTTGATTGTAGATCAAAGAAATTATAAGTCAAAGAGGTAATTCAGTTCAATTATATTACTTCAACTACTAGGAACAAACATTAACCATTGATTGTTTAGTACTGTGGAAAGGGAACTTCATGAGGACAGTGGTGACACCCAAGCAGGAAAAGCCCAAAGGGAACATCAGGCCAGCCATAAAACAAACTTGCATAGGAAAAGAGATTTAATAAAAGGTATTGAAAGAAGCCCCCTAGACAAAAGCCAAGTAATTAAGAAAGCTAGGGAAACAAGTCAAACAACAGGTCATGCCAAATCAGCAAAACAAATAGACAAAAGACACGAAATAAATTCCATAGCAGACAGGAGATTGCCACCAAACAAATATAAGAAAACATTAGGATGAAACTGATAATCCAATCAAACCACCCCATGGAGTTTACCCTCTGGAGGAAATGAAGACAACCCCTGACAGGATTTAAAACATTAAGAAATACAAACACAAGCACACACACACAAAAGGAGAAAAAGGTATAAAAATCAGGGGTTTATTATACAAAGATGGCTAGCCCCAGGAACACAGACTTCTTGCTATCTCTTGCCTTCCTGAAAAATAAAAGGAACCCTCTTCCAAGCAGTTGTCTGTGTCCTTGCACCAGAGCCGTCCCAGCAGGAAAACCAAATCCTCAGAAGAAAGGCATTTTCTAGCCTTTCAACAGTACTTAAAAAAATATTGATTATTTTACTTACTTTCTTTTTAAAAAAAATAGTTGTATTGCTTTTATTCTCTTAATCTTCATAACAGCATGCAATATATTGTTGTTGTTGTTGTTGTGGTGGTGGTGGTTAATCTTTGGTGAGATTCACAGCCTTTGGGGCTGGTTGGTAGCTCAACAGCTCGAGTCCTAACCAAGGACCTAGGAACTGTTCAGGTAGCCTCGGAGGAAGCACGCTGAGTCACTTCTGCTGGCACACAAGAGCTCATCCAGAAGAGTCTCACTGTGAATGCATACACACTGCCTGCAGCTGATTGTCGGGTATCTGGCACCCAGGCATGGGGGGTGGGCATGGTAGTAGAAGCTGGAGCAAGGAAAGGGAGCTCATTTTATGGTGCAGAGTTTGGGTTCCTCAATAATATATGATATTTTATATATCACTCAGTCCCATTGTGCCCATGTAGTAAATGCTAAGAGGGAAGACAGAAGTGATATAGAAGGCCTCATCAGGCCTTTTCATACTCTATCACTTGGGATGACATTTGATACCTTGAAATGAGAAAAGAAGAGAAAAATCTAAACAACTTTAAGGAATGGAAAGCCCACTTAGAATTGATAAAAGAAGAAGGCTATCAATGAAATGTCATAGCAATAGTGAGCCTTAATCACAGTCTGTAACACAGAGGGAAAACACTAAACCACATTTGGTGACTAACCAAACAGAAGCTGGGCCAGGAGTAATCAACATCATTCAACTAGTTGATTATATGTATTTTTCAGATTATAAGATGTACTCCCCACACACAAAAGTGGGTGGAAATGTCTGTGCATCTTATAGACCAAATATATTCATTCAAATATATTGTGCTAAAGTATGTAAATATATTGTGCTAAAATAAATAAAAATAAAATAAATATATTGTGCTAAAGTATGTAAAGTATGTAAAGAAGAAGGTGATAGACCAACTTTGCTCTTCTCTGTTCTCCATTGTCTTAATGATCTCTGTGTTCATCTCTCCTTTGCATTTCATATTGATAAGAATCCAGGAAATGTTTCCTATTTTGGTTCAGACCCTAGATCAACTTATCTCATTGTGTCTTCTCTGGAACAAAAATAGACAGCTGAGTCTGCAACTGACACAGAATTCAGCTGGAAATAAAACTCATTCTTGGCGACATCTGACAAAATGGAGGCACGGTTCTTCACAGAGGGAGAATACCATTTTTTCCTGCAATCCATTTTAGAGTTTTTCCAAAAGGCTGGTGGAACCAATGCCAAACATAGTTCTGAGTCTGGATGGAGAACCCAGTCAATTTACACACCAGCCGGAGATTATCTCTAGGTCTTACCACTCCTGGGCCTATTGAAACCAGGTGAATCTCTGAGAAGGCCCCTTGAGAAACAAGAGAAGATGACTGTGAGTATAAGAGCTC